AGGAAACACTGTAAGCATGTAAGACTTCTAAAAGAAAGCAAGTACAGTGTACAAAGGTTTGGGGTTTTTAAATTTAATGGCAAAAGTTGAAGGAATACAGGTAGTTTTGAGAATGTACACAGGGCAAGATGTCAAATTCTTATTTGTGAGCTATGAAACAGGAAAACAAAAACCACTGAAATAAAAAAATATTTGGTTTATTTTCTTCTAAGTAAATCATGAGAGTGGTAAATTCGTTTTATGTTTTACATTTTCCTGATTCTTCTTGAGTAATTAGAATCTAAGCACACAATTTTCTTAAATGTCATTAGTATTAGATGAACTAATTAATAAAACAGAACCATAATAATATTAATAAGACTATTTAAAGGCAGCACAACATGAAAATACAATTTAGAAGAATGACAACAGCAAAGTACAGAATAATGGGAACAACCCGTAGAAACATTTCTGCCAGATATGGGAAACAAAGAGAAAGGAGACAGCTGAGAAAGCAGTGAAATAAGTTTCAAATGTACGTAGCAGCAAACAACACTAAATTAGCCGTCAGAGAAACTTATAGTAGCTTCTGTCAAACTTAAACTGGGACTCTAGTTGATGTAGCAGACCTTTCCAAAGATTGTGTGCTTGTTGTTAAGTTCATCTGCACGACCCAGTGTAAAGAAAAACTGACTCCCATTATCATGGGGCCCAGCATTTGCCATAGCAACAAGTCCTCTTCGATTAAATCGCAGTCGTGAGTGGAACTCATCCTATCAAAACACAAGAGAAAACAGTACCATTTAAGTATGTAATTATTTTTTTCACTTCTTTAGCTATGGCTTATTCACATCAACACGCACGCACAGAAAACATGCTGTTAATTTTTTTTAAAATTCAGACAGTAATAAAAGTATTTTCAAACTTAGTGCCACAATTATATTTAAAAGTTTCTATTTTGAGCAGCAAAAATTATTTTAGTCAATACTTTTAATCCTTTGTGTCTATAATAATGCAAACAAGTGAACAACCTTCAAAAGAAACCATAAACACATAACCAATGAACACCAAATAAAAAATTAGGAACTAGTATATCAATAACAGAAAGACATATTATTTAATAAAAACCCTCAAATTTCTGTCTTGTTAATTTTATTTTTCCAATTGTTCCCTAAAAATCTACTGTTATTCATTATTTTTATTTGCATTCATTACCCCCCAACATTAACAAAATCAGAAGTGTTTTGAAAAGTAACTGCATTTCATACATTTCATCTAAAAGTACCATTCTTGTGAATCACTGTATTTATGTGAAAAATCATAATTCATGTAAAGTAACTGAAAGTAACCACAATAAGAAGTTGTAATAATACATTAACGCAAAAATCCATAGGAAGAACATTTTCTGTACCATAAGAAGACAAAATAGGACTCCTTTCAAAGCAAAGAGAAAGTGTTGAGTAATATATGAATACCACGGTAACATCACAATTCTAAACACTGCAATATTGAGATAATATTAATTTTAAGCAGCAATGCTACTACAGTATTGGTAATACTTGTTTTGTTCTCTGCTTAGTTACCAATCCCTCCCAAAACTTCACATTCGTGCCAAATGTACAAGTCTAGGGGCAAGATGATGCAAGGCCCAGAGACAGGCTATGCACCTTCAGTCATGAGCTAAAGGTGCCTGCCACATCCGAAATAAAATATCAGGCAGGACAGAACACAGCTGCTGAGCCTGCCTAGCTTCACTCGGGATTTGACCCTCCTGGCTAAGTGATGAGCCTTGATGATAACAAGAACACCAATGGACACATATACAGCCTTCAGAGACCTTTGCCAAATGAGATACAATGTGCACAAACACTTCTGAGTTGTCACATATCAAGACCTACTTTTCATTCTTCCTCTCCTCAATTTTCTCTTGTGAAGCTCATGCTAATATGGTTATACACTTATCATAATATCAGAATAGCTAGATTTAAGAACTCTCAGTTCAAAGGGACATATTCAAACACACTGAAGCAGCATGTGAAATAATATACTGCACGTGTTTCATATAACATTTGATTTTTCACAACATAACATGGTAGGAAGAACAAGAGATAGCAAATAACCAAAAATTAATGCATGAGATATACAGAGACACACCTTGAAGGGAGCTCCATAGACTGACTCTCCTCCTGATCCAGTACCAGTAGGATCACCTCCTTGCACTATAAAGCCAGGCACTACTCTGTGAAATATTGTGTTATTGTAATACTCTAAAATAAAGAGGAAAAAAGAATAAAACATTAAATACATGTTAGTGGTCTCAAAATCAAACTTTCATATAGATCATGCAGGGATGTCCAGAGACTGAAGTTCCAGAAAGGAAGTACTGTCAGTAGATTTTGCTGATGCCACTGGGTTCCCTTCTATTCCACACAGTCTTACAAAAAAACCCCTGCGTTGTCATATGTTTCTGTTGCAAAAGACCCCGCCCATCGCTACCAAAATGATCTTGATTAACTACTTCCTTTTCAGCTTTTAAGTTTTACTACTGGAATGATACTACAATTACAATGCATCAATTTAAAAGGAGAGCTAGAACTACTAATGCTCTGCCTCAGACAATGTCTCACATACAACATCAGCCATATTCATATATCAGATGATTAGCACTTCCATGGACCAGCGTAGAACACACGTGTCACCCCTTTCACCACTTACACTGTGTCTAAACTGATAATTTTCGCAGAATGAAATAGGTGGCACATTCTTCTCCTTAAGTTATCTTCTTATCTATCTTATCTATCTTCTTATCTATCCATCTATCTAATCCATCTTATCTATCTATCTGATAAAGGTTACACGGTCATAAGAAAACAAAAGGAATGAAAACTTTACTTGACATATATTTCTGATTTTTTAATTATTTTTGAACAAAAATAAATCTGCAGCATGCTGCAAGACAAAGCAGGGTCAAAAAAATTCAACTATAGGTGCAAGAACACAGAACAGGCTGGATCTGTGCTGGAGGCACAAATCCTAGGCTGCTATTTCTGCTTAACAGATGAAGGCAAAAAGAACTCCTAGCCACTCTATAAATGCATAAATGGGATAATAGCAGCAGTTAGAAAACATATAAAGGCATCAAGTCCTTCACAAATTTTTTTACAGTTTCCGAAGAGGGAGCTTCTTGTTTTGGTACTCACTACTTCAGTGGAGAGCTTTACAGAGCTTCTATCAACAAAAAAATACAGCAAATAAAAAATCAGAAACACTCACAGAAAAAAAAAAAGAAAAGGTAGTAAATACGGCGACACAGAAATGAGAATTTTGGAGGATATCCAATATTGCATCAGTGCTATTTCATACACACACTAAAGAAGTTATACTTAGTAGAGGCTTGCTGAAAGTAAGCTTTTCCAAGCCTCTGACAGGCACCATTTCAGTAACAATACATCATCCGCTTAAGTTGAGAAAACTATCCAATTTTTTTTCTCCACTAGGTTCATTAGTAACCTTGAAAAACATCGTGTTAATTTTTAAGTAGAAATAAACTTATTGATGTATTACAGTTAAAACATATTTATAACCCCTATTTTACAAAAAGAGCACAAAGATTTCATATGAAGTAGCTTCAACAACTGCTATCATTACCTTCCATACAAAGCTGGATGAAGTTTCTACATGCTTTTGGTGCTTCTTTTGACCATAATTCTATATCTATCTCTCCTGCTGTTGTTCTCAGCAAAACCTACAAAAATACAGATAAATGCATCATCAGTTTTATTGTAAGTTAGTCAGTGATCAAAGAATATCATTGCTTACTTTAAAAATACATCTGAATTTGGTATATTAGTAACAGTGATACACATTTTAATGTGTTGTATAGCTATTGTTAGTTCTAGATAGCATTTCCAGAACTTGAGATACAACTCTGAACTGATATGTATAATAAGAATGTATAATATAATCTGACCAGTGGATGTTTAGGATTGATTGGTCAAATTACGTGACTAATACATCTGTTCTAGAACAAGCAGCAATCACAAGTATTGAGGCGATGCTGCTGAGAACACAGCTGCGTTGGGCAGGACACGTCTCAAGGATGAAGGACTACCGCCCTCCCTAAGATCATGCTTTATGGTGAACTTGCCACTGGCTGCCGCTAGAGAGGAGCCCCCGAAGAGAAGATTCAAGGACTCCCTGAAACAACATATTGGCCATATTGATCATCATAACTAGTCTACTATGGCCTCCAATCGAGAGGTCTGGAGACACACTATCTTTAAACGCTGCTGCTTCCTTTGATAACGCACGCAGGATCACTCTTGAGGAGAAAAGACAACGCAGAAAGAATCGTGTCTTGCAGAATATACCACCTAAGGAGTCTTTCTGCTGTGCCTTTTGCAACCAGACTTGTCTATCTCGTATTGGTCTTTTTAGCCACCAGCGCGCTTGTAACAAGTGTGGATAGAGCCCTTCCCAAATCTTCATTCGAGAAGCCTAGCCATGATAACATAATATACTACAATAACGTGGCTGGTACGTGGCACATGACAGAAACTTAGATTTTATTACTTCCATAATGAAACAACAGGGCGGAAAAAAAAAAGCCATAAATGCCCAAAGGCATATCTCTCTCCTACAAGTATTACCATTACATTCAGTGAGAGGTCGTAACAAAATTAAGGGCGTAATCGGGAAGAGAGGAAATGAAATTAAATGTTCCAGGGATTTCTCTATATTATGTATCCACATATCACGCCTCGCGTTACGACTCTGATAACGTCCTTAAGGCCGACATCACCTCGGAGTAACTTTAACCAAACGAGCCCAGCATGAAAAGCACCACCACACACACACATAACCCGCGTCCCCCCACACCCCTGCAACATACAACTTCTCCACGACCTTCGCCCCGGCTGCCTCACCTTCCCGTTGGTGGGCGGCTCCTGGATGTAGATGTTGCTCATGGCGACAAAAGGACCATGGGGCTACCGAACACCCGCCCGCGCCCGACCCTGGACTTCGCTGCTGCTCCAGCCCTTCCTACCGCGCAATGCCGCCAGCCATTTTGGGCACCTCTACACAGCCCTGGGAAGGGGGGCGTGAGACTGCCCAAGCCAGGAGGAGGGACGAAGAGATGAGTCCCCGGCCGGAGTCTCTACGGGACTCACTGAGAAAGGACGTCTTTTGGGAAAAAAACGAGAGCTTCTCCACACATCTGGAGTCCCTCCTCGAGCCTCCCGCCCGACGGGCACTGAGGTCCCCCGCCTTCCCTGTGAGTGGCACGGTCCGGGAGTGCGCCGTGCAAAGCCTTCCGGCAGGGAGAGGCGTTGGTGCAGGCGCGGGCCGAGGCGGCGGGAGCGGCGGGATGGCCCTGCCGGGTAAGGGGCCGGGGGCGGGAAGAGGCAGGGCTGGCGGGATCGGGGCCGGGAAGGAGAGAACGGGGAATGAGCGGCGGGGTGACGGACAATTGCGCGGGGGGTGGTGGGGGCTGCTCTGGGAGGGAGGGCGGGAGGGAGGTGCGAAAGTGGGGGGCGGGCAGCGCCAGGGGCAGTGCAGCCTTGCGGGAGCGTTCTCTGGGCCTCCCCACGCGGTTTTGGCTGATCCAGCCCTGTGTTCCCGTCGCCTTCTTCTCCAAAGTCAGATCCTAAGAATGCTGGTGGTCAGCCTTGGTTTTCCTTCTCGATTGTTGTTTTGGGTTAACGTAGGTGCCCCAGCAGATTGTTGTTCAAACAGACCCGTTCGGAATGGTGGTGAGGTAGGGCAGGGAGAAACGTCTGCGCTGTTGGCAGGGTGTTCTTGCCGTTGCTGCATAGTCTTGATCCTGAGACAAAAAGAGTGTATGGTTGGAGAACAGCTGACCAAGCCTGGGCTTTGGTAAGCTACTTCTCTGGTGAAGTATAAGCTCAGTAAGCTTGCTCCCATTCTAGAAGGAGCTCTTGAGGAAAGCTTTTATTTTTAATTTTACGTTCCGGTGAGTGAATCAAGTCCTTAGTGCTTTGTTGGTTGTTAATTTTCTTGAGGATTAACGCATGGGAAGGAGAAGAAATGACAAAAGGAAGCATCTAGCAATTTGTTTTAATTGTCTAAAATTTCATCTAGTCTAAACCTCAGCTTCTAACATTATTTTTTAAAACAAAAAAAAAATAAAATTTCAGTCGTCAGAGTATTGAGTGACAATATTCTTGTCAACTGCTGGGTGTTTCTCCTGGAAATCTTGACCTACACGGGAGATTTTGTAGTGTGTGCATGACTTTTCTGACCTCCCTTGGATGAAATACTAAATCTTTCTTTGCCTACAGGTCAGCTCTGTAGTAGGGCTGAAATTTACTGTGTAGTAATTTCGGAATGTCGAAACCAGTTAGGTAGCTCAGGTGATCTGGTTTACTAGTCCCAAGGTGTAGTGAACAAGCAAATGCAGTTTTGAGTGGTTCTCTGATGTGACATTTCAAGGTACAGGCATGCTTTTGGTTTTTGTTTTGTGACACTTCCTTCCAAGTGTCCTTGAAACAGGGAGTCATGCAACAGGCACTTGAACACTGAGTTAGTAGACCTTTAAGGGGATATATAATACTAAGGTTTTGGGATCTGCAGAAAATCATGTGTTATAATGGAATGTATGTATTTTTATTTCTTGGCTTTCCAGTACTCTTTAGGGCATAGAGCAGTGAGTCATCCAGATTTCCAAGTTAGTTTTTTCAGCCTGGGGTTTGAAGGTTTCTCTGTTATTTTGAGTAGAATTTTTTAAAGACAGTGCTTGTCTCAGTAAATCATAGTTTAAATACCTGGCGTTGGTGTACTCCCTTTCTGGTTCTCTAATTTCTGTAATAGATTTCTTATTATGTTTGATTATTTATTTATTTAAATACATTAACAAGCTATTCAGAAGATGCTATATAACTACTTAAGTTGCTGAGGTTTTGTTGGAAGATAGAAGGGCATCTTTTGCTTTTGGAAATTCGGTTGTGACATTCATTATGAATAGGCTCAGATGTTTAAAAATCATACTGACCTATTTGAAGGGGGGCAAGTCTCTGGTGTTTCTCCTGAATCATGTTCTACTATTTCTGTTTAACTTAACTGTGGTCTCACATGAGAAAATTCCACACTTTCCATACCTAAAATTTGCATTATTCTGGTCCTTCTTCCTGCTTAGCAACTACAGACTTTTCTGTTACTCTCTTCACTTTGTTATACATTTGCTTTCTTGCACCTCTAATTCTTTGTATTTGGTGCCATGTTTCCTGGATTCAGAATCATTTAACAATTTGTTGACTTTTTTTTTCTGTCTTTTCTGGACTGATTTTTTTGTTTGCTTTGTTTTTTAATTGCCTTTTAAAGTCAATTCCTGTAATTAAAATATAAATCACTTCAGAGTTCCCAGTGAATGTCTGTCAATATCCATACACTGCTAGAATTTATAGGTGCACTTAGTGTGCAGTTACAGACTACTGGAATGTCGGGTAACTATTATTACTGTGCTCATATTGTAACTAAACAAATGCATAAGCTTTCAGAGAAGTGGAGTAATTATTAAAATTATAATGGAAAGGTCATGATAAATCAAATTAGGATTTGGCAATAAGTTATCTGAGTGGTACACAAGAGAATGACCTTAGAAATGCACTGTTTTGCCTTTCTTTAAGTTTTTCTTTAGAGATATGTACTTTCATATGTACTTAATACTCTGAGTGATCACTTTTGCCTGTGTATTGACATTATCAAGCCAGATTTGAAAGAAACTTGATGGTTCTGTTTAGCAAGACCTAATTGGTGAAATTTTTTCTTTCAGGCGGAAATAAGGATAACATCAGAGCAGGATGCAAAAAGTGTGGTTACCGTAAGTCAACAATAGACAATATGAAGTTACAGTGTTTTGTTCTATTTATGATGTTGGAACTGCCTTTTGAGGAAGGGTTGGGGAAAATGAAAAAAAGTATTCTCCCTTATTGCCCAGATATTTGTCAGTTTTAAATACCAAATCTTTAAAATTTATTTCATTTTCATTCTCTGGCTTCTCACATCTGTTGCTGCTTTTGAAAACTCTTGAGTGTCTCAGAAAAAAAATTATGCTATTATATTAATATATACTACATTTGCAGTAGTAAATTACTTGAGAAAGTTGAATTGAAAGCATCGTCTTTGATACATACTGAGGTTAGCATTTGTGCTTCTGAATCTCACTGCAAACAAGTAGGCATTTCAGCTCAAATTAAGACCAATCTATGTTACAAGAAAAAATAATTTAAAATCTGTATGATCTTTTAGCCAAGAAAACATATTTTCTTGAGCATTTTGTATTTCAAGAGGCAGTTACTTTTATTATTTACAAGTTGTGCAGTTAGCATTTAGCTCATGCTTTGCATTATACACTGATCATACAGGTATGTCTGTGGCTACTTTCCTGATGAATGGAGAGGGGTCTTAGTGAAGATTTTAATTTGGTAGTCACTAACTCTTATATTTAGAACAACAGAGGAGTAGACACTGTTTTGCAGTGAATTGTACTGAACTTTTAACACAGTGATCTAAGCTGTTAGAGTTTTTTATGAGCTTTACATAGGGTGACAGGAAAAAGTCTTGTTTTGTTCTTCCACTTCAGACTTTGCAAGAAAATTTGTCACTGAATAGTTTTGTGTATGTCTTCTTCAAAAGGGCCATGGATATCAATATAGATTTAGTTCTCTGTTTTTACATGCAGCAAATATCAGAAACTTTCTGGAAGAGAGGGAAACCTGTAGTCAAATCAAACAATCCCTGTTTGTGTTCCTAAAAGCTCTGTCTTCAAGATGTAGGTGTTTTGATATGAAGAACATGAGTTTATTTCAATTACTACTTGAATTCATGCGTCTCCCAAACCATATTTTCAATTTATTTTATTTCACTTTATTATTCCATTAGGCTTATTCAGCACAAGGTTTCTAACTGGTCATGATTATCAAGATGTAACTAAGAAAACTAAAAATACTAGTCAAGTAGTAACTTAGTCAGTAGTAAGTACTGGTTGTAAAGATTATTGTTCATAAGCAAATAGGATTCTATGATTTCACTAGAGGAAGTTAAAAAGAGCAGTATAACACTCGCTTTAGTTTTTTAAATATTTCACTTGATGCTTTTAGGTAGTTTCTTAGAAAGTATCCAAGACCATTAAAAATAGAAAAATGAAAGTTGAACAAAATCTTTAACAGAAATAGGAGAGAGGTCATAAAGCACTGTTAAATGGAAGAGCATTGCACAACCTGTCAAAATTCTTGGAGATTTTTTCAAAGTAAGCCCTCTCCTGCCTCATTCACAGATTGCAGCCTACCCTTTTTTCACTTCTCAAAACCAAGTAATACAAAAATGGATGTTCTTTAGTTTCTGATATTTTTTGCTAAACTATAATTTTTCTTTCTTTATATTTGTTTTGTCCAGCTGGTCATTTGACATTTGAATGTCGAAACTTCCTCCGAGTAGATCCTCAAAGAGATATTGTTTTAGATGTTAGCAGCACTAGCAGTGAAGACAGTGAGGAAGAAGAACTACAGAGATTGCAAGCCATGCGTGAAAAAAAGAGTAAGGTGTTTTTTGTGTTTTGTTTTCTTTTCAGTCATAGAATACATTGAATAATGGTCTTCTGAAGTGTAGGAACTCTCATTTTATTCTTTTTGATAATTACTATTAGTTCTTTTAGCCTGTGATTTAGTAGTAGGTCTTGTACTTCCTATATTCAGACTTAGTGATTTGATACACCCACTTTTTTATTAGTAATAATTTCTATCATAGGAAATTACTAATGTACCCATTTGGAACATCTCAAAAAGGGCTCCTAAATGCAAAAGATTATCAGACTGTTACTAAGAAGCTGCTCAGGAGAAAACGATACGGATGTTCTGAGTTAATCTTTTGATTATGGCATGTAGTTTAAACGTCTTATCACTAATGACAAATATGACAATTTCTCTCCAGTTTCTAAGTAGGATTTTGACTGAAACAGCTAGTAAATTGGAATTTAAACATTCATATTTGGAGAATTACTCTTCTATATTTGGAAGATGTGAGTATCAGTTGTTTGTCAGAGATAATAGATGGGCTATTTATCAGGTACTTGATACTTCATTTGAATTTGGACTTTAAAGAAGTAGTTCCCCTAAGTAAGAAGGAGAGATTACTCCACCATAGCATGTTTTAAATGAATGAATCTTCTTCTTCTCTGCCAAAACATCATGTTTTGTTCTGTTGCTCTCTCATTCCAGACTTGACATTTAGTTCCTACTGAAGATGCTATTTAGGGAGGAGAAGGGAAAGATAGAACCTTGTAGTTTGCTGTACACTTCAAAAGAAATGGATAGTCTGCTTGACAAGAGTGCTGAATTGGTACTGCAATGGTCCTTTCTTGGGACAAGTCTCTTTGGAAAAACAAGTTCCCACTTATTATGTATTTCTGAATGGAAGGATTGGGGTTTTTTTGGCCCTAACTGATTGAAGATGGATGGATACCTGCAGAGAAAGCAGCTGTTTACCTGATCTTCTAATATCCATATTTATTATATTTTGTTTCTCAAACTGTGGCTGCTAAGGAGACGTGTATCTCTAAGTGTCAATAATCTGGGCAGAATTTTGCCATTTTCAAGTGGCCTCATCTTCTCAACATTTTTGCACTATTTTCTTAAAAAAATACTGTTTGTTCGCCCATTCTTGTTCATGTTTTTTAATTGCTCCAAAGATAATTTGCTTTTTTAGTTCATATTGAATTCTTTCAAATTTTCCTTCAGAACACACAGACCAGTAATTTGTATTTGTGGTAGCAAAGGAATCACTGCACTAGTAGCATGCAGACTTTGTAGAAAGTATGACAGGAATAAGATGAAATGCTCGAAGTTGACTGTTTTAAGGATAAATTATAAAGGTGGTGTTTTCCTGTTAGCTGACATTGTAATGTGTATTTATTTAGTGGGTTTGCATTTTGGAAAATTAAAAAATACTTTTTGAACGGGTACAGAAAAATCTAAGATCAGAAATTTCATCTCCAGTGTGATAAAAATATTTTTTATAAGTGAAATGTGAAGTTACTATGCAATACCATACAGCATTGGGGCAAACAAGCACAACCAGATGAGGGGTGATACTTCTGTCAATCTTTGTAGATGGTACATGGACAATTAATTCAAATTTATCTTAGTTATAGCATTGCTATTTGTGAAGTGTGAAAGGAAGATGTGTGAATGTAACTTAGGTTACATTCCTGAATATCTTAAGGGAATATCCTTTTTTTTAGTATGTTCTAGTTAAATGGCCTGCTTTCAGACCTAGGCAATAATATGGTAAGTGTTAAGACTGTTAAAATACAGAAAAACAGATATGAAAACCTCAAGCTGATGTCAACGTGTAGGAAAAGTCACAACTTTTTGCTAAGTTTTACAGGCCTTCTTTCCTTCTTAGTGCTTAGATCAGGGTCATTAGAATATAAGCTGTGTATAAAAATCCTGCCACTCTGCAAAATGTTTCTGAAATTGTTACACTAGACCAGAATTTGGAGGAAGAAAAAGAAAACCTTTTCACAGGAATTTTGTCGTAACTTTACATTGCTATCAAAGCCACTCTTCATTCTGATCTAAATTCAGACAAGTGCTTTTTAAAATGTAACTTTTTACCCATAGATTTAAATGAGGAGGAAGAAAAAAAGAAACAAAAAAGAAAAAACAAAGAGAAGACAAAAAGACCAAGGAAAAGGTAACTCGTATCACACAGCTGTTTTCATTTCAAAACACAACTTCAGAAATATTTCTGATACTTGGGTTGTCTCTCAGAAGATATTGCTTCTTTTTATGCAGCTTGATTTGCAAGTACATCTTTGGTTTGAAAAGTTTCCTCTTTTCCAGTGAGAACTTGTTTGTTCTTGGATTAATGGTAAAGTCATGGGCTTTCAACTGTGGAAGTTTTGAAAACTCTAGCAAGCTGGAGGAAAACTTCTGTAGTTTTACTTGGCATCTCTTGAATTTTAGTGCACCTGTTAGTCTAGAAGCCTAAAAAAAGTATTATTATGAATCTGAGTTCTGACCTGATGACTGATTGGTTTGTCTTTTAAAATGAAACTAATGGTTAATCTTAGGACTGTTGATAAGACAATATCCCAGGAACTGCCCTGGAAGCTATAAAATGTGTAATGTGTTTGGAGACCACAATAAGATATTTTCCGAAATAAAGAAACAGGATTTAATACTGGTTGTATTGACATTTTTCTCCTTTATTTACATCGTGTAGCTCTAACTTCCACTTTTGAAGACAGTTTTTACACTTACGAAAAAGAAGAATAGAAAAGAGTCAGTTTGGCTGTCGGTTTTCATGCAAGTAACTAATAGTTAATCATGTAAACAATAGCACAAAACTGCCCTTCTGAGTATTCATGATTATTTCATGACTGTTATTGTTATCATAATTCTTTTATGTGTGTAATCACTCATTGCTGGTTAGAGACCAATACTACCAGCTGCAAGAGCATCCTAATTTGTCATACTGAGTTTCTCTTAGATTTTTACATTGGAGGAATAAATTAAGATTTTTTTGAAGGCATTGCTCTCACATTGTTATTGATCATGTGGTATTTTAAAAGCTGGAAGCTCTATCTTGCTGTCATACTTTATTTTCTATTGATCTGTACTTCTAGTCTTTTTCTTTTAGAAGACTGAAAAACCATACAACTTGCCTGTTCCATAGTTTTTTAATCTGTATTATAAACATACAAAAGTCTTATTAGGAAAGTCATCATTCAAGTTGAACATGCAGACTGAGATATCATAAGCTTTTCAGTGGATGCTACCATGCAAATTCTACACCAAATTTTATTTGGAACATATATTTATATTATTGTGGCATTTTCCTTCTTTATTAAATATTGATCTGTATTATTTTTTTCATTAGATCTTCCTCATCAAGTTCAATTGAAGAGGATGGGCCAAAGTCAAAAAAACAAAAATCACATAAAAAAGAAAGGGAAAAGGGAAAAAAGCATAAATCTAAGAAAGAAAAGCATCATAAAAAGGAGAAAAAGAAGAGACGAAAGGAGAAAACTTCATCTTCTGACAGTTCAGACAGTTCAAGTAGTGACTAAGATGCTGGTCTATTTTTGTGTTCACTTCTGCAGAGAAGGTGATTTTCCTTTCATATCAAATTTATTTATGCTTTGCAGTGCTGTTTTAAAAGGGGATATATGTATATTTTTGAGAAATCTATTTGCACACATCAGTGCTTCAAATTGTTAGATGGACCATTTAGGAAAAAATTTCAAGTTTATTAGTACTAAACCATGTAAGTTTAACTAGTTCTTCACTCTTATTCTTAATTACTCAGTTGTGAGTAATTGTGTTTGTCATCCCTTACAGTAGGATATGGTAAACTTCAGTTTGCAAGCTTATGTGTAGAAAGATAAAGACTTAAATATGCTTAATGTCAGAATGGTTAAATCTGATCTGGAAATTCAAGTGAGATTTTCTGTTATCCTTTAAATAAATGTATGTTTTACATAGCATTTTCTGCTTTCATCCATTAATCAGTAAGTGCAAATATGAAATAGGTCCTGAGAAGGGAGGAACGGGCAATGAGGAGCTAAAAAAGATTGAGCCTTCAAAATTATCTTCAAAAATTGATCTAGTCTTAGACTGTGAAATACATGTACATTGTCATGGCTGACAGCGGGTCTGTTAACTCTTTGGAAGAAGATTTTGACCTGGGAAAGTTACGGGTGTATCCTTGAGATAAGAGAGGTATGTACGCAGCCCTGGCTGAAAGAAGACAGCTGTGGAGTGTTTAGGTTTGATCCTGTGAGAACTCCAGCTTTGGCCTTGAGCTTTGTCAAAAGTATTACTAACGAAGAATAGCTAATTAAAAAATACAATCACCTGCCTGCCTTCTGATGCTTGTTAACATGGGATATAAAAAGACTTGTGGGAAAGAATAAAGAGACTGGTACTTTGCTCAATACTGGGGTGTTTGTGTTTTTCTTTACTTTTGACCACCACAACAATAACAGTATGTGTTCTTTTGGCAGGATCACTGTAAGCAAGCTGAAAACAAACAGAAGCAAACAAAAGCCATTAGTTTTTCTAAGTCCTTTCTGCGTGGGTTTTGTTCTTTCACAATTATGGCCATTTCATCTTTGACACATAGACCAGCGCGCAAACACACACATATCTCAAAACAAGATTTCTAATATTAAAACTTTAGCTATTTCTTAATTCCTGTCAATTCTTATTAGCTTCAGTTTGCATGAATCGCACTTTCAAGGGTAAACCCTGACGTAACTGCTGCTGTTGTACAGGCCCAAGATGTTGATTGTATGTCTGCTACTCAGCAAGCACCAAAGCTCTTAGAGTATGAGGGTGATGCCAGTACAAACAAGAAGTGCCATTCCCTGTCAGCTATCTTCTATAAGCAATAAAGACGTCTGAAACAGGCTATTTAGTGGAGTTCATTTAAATGTCAGCATAGTACTTAAGATGTGACTTCTTTACCGTTTTCTGTGTAAGCTAGATATTTGTCCTACTGAGAAAGTATACTATGAACAAGAATGATTACTCCTTATTTATCTGTATTGTATATAAGTATTCATGAGGCTTTAACCTAGTGTAATAGTTTGTAAAATATCCTTGCAGAATTTTGACCATCAGAGAATTTCAACAAAGAATAAATTTGAGCTTTAAGAAACACATTGTATATGGTACTAGTTGTCTAGGAGCAAATTTAGGCTGGAAATTGGCAGAAACTTTCTCTACATTGAAGAGCTGCAGTCTTAGAAGAGCAAGAAATAAAACTTCTGAAAGAAGGAGCTTAGTACATGTAATGGCTCAAACAAAGATATGCTTGCATGAGACAGCAACAGATTACAAATAAAAACATGCTCTCTTGGATACCAGAATTCGCATTACCACTGGTACTTAAGTACATTTAAAAAGAAGGGAGAAAAGATAAATATCACACCAAGAAAATTTATAGATGATACAAAATAAGGTGAAGGCTCAAAGTGCTACTGAGGAGAAGACTGATAGCTCAAAGCCAGACAGGAAAATGGAAAATGTCTAAGACTGGCAATATAAGGCTAGATCTGAACAGCAGATTATGCATATGCTAGGAACAGCTGTGGAACAATTTAAAGTCAGTGTTAGAACTCTTGCCACACCATGATCCATAGAAGATATTTCCTGCTCACCTGCATTTAGCCAAGCTCAGTTTTTTTGAAGCAGAAAAGGAAGGTTCTGCTGGTAAAGGGTAAGTTTTGCTGCCTGTCAGTCAGTGCCTTCAAGATTCTAGAACTACTTCCCAAAATAATGCTACAAATCTCTTCACTGAATGCCTCCATTTGAAGAGACTGGAATGTTTGCTAAGGAGGATGAGTTATGAGATAGACCAAACTCCTCTCTCTCAGCAATTGTAAATCCAAAATTAAGGGGCACCAGTTAAGGAAGTACAGAAAAAAGGAAAAAATAATAACCCTTTATTAAAATATATATGTATGTTGGCAAAGACAGTAACAGAACACAAAAACAACTAGACAATAGTCCTGTACCCAAAAGTCCCCTTCAAAAAAACCCCCACAGTCTGAATACTTCTCTGTCCTCTAGGGCGGTTCTAATCACGATTGGCAGGGGGCGCGGTTGGATCACTAGAGGTGCAGAGCCTGCCGTGTGCTGTGGTGGCCTACAGGGGGCGCTGTTGGGCTCTGGCAGTCACCGCGGGGGGGGATCTCGGATCACGGGAGAAGCCAAAAAATGACCCTCCCATAATGGAAGAAGGGGAAAAGAAAGGCAGTCCCCCGCCCCCCAGAACTCACTGTTGTCCTCGGCTGACAGTGTTTCAAGGCTCCTCCTTTTCTCCCAATGAGCACAAAACTCTCAGATGAAATTGCAGCAGGTTCGGGCTGGAGGCAGGGGCAGCGTGCAAGCAAGCTGAGGCGAGTGGTCAGAAGATGACCAGGTCAAGAGCAAGAAAAATGGCCTCAAAGCTTTTTCCAAAGCACACAGACTCCCCTGTCTCCCTAGTAGAGAAAACCCAAACTCTTCTCCCCCTTTGTGAGGAGGGCAGCAACAGAGAAAAACTCCTCCCCCCTCACTCCACTCTCAGATGGGCCATCAGTTGGGAATGCAGTTCTGCCAGCTTCCTCCTCCTCCTCATTCAAACTTTCTCTTCTTACAGTGGGGCAGGGGAAGGAAAATTTCCCCTTGAATTTTTTAGTATCTATGACACTGAAGTAACTCGAGACTAAGTGTGAGCAGAAATACATCTTTCATTAGCTTCTGTTGCTTCTTGTTCATGAAACTGGACAATGGATAGGATACCTCTTCCATAATAAGGAATTTCACCTTTACACTGACAAAAGACCAATCGGTATTTAATGCATCATTGTATAGTTATTCCTGGGATGGAAATGGGATAGAGGTTGGTTCTTTTTTTTTTTTTTTGTTTTCCAATGGAGATTTTCTAAGTTTTGATTAGAAGAAAAGAATGCTAGAACAGCAAATCCTTATAGAAAATCCTGTGGTTTTGGAAGAGAAATACTCAAATGGCAGATGAGTACTCTTTGCCACATCAACCAGCATTTACATCAAATGTCACAATTCCTCTTCCATCAGGAACTAAAATTTTGTAGAAATCTTTGGTAGACATGATTTCTGCAGGTTTTTTAATAGAAGGTGTTAAAATGTTTCATCTGCAGGAAATCACCAGGGAATTGCCTTCCTCAGCAATTATCAAAAAACCATTAGTTGGTAGCAACAGAAATATCCCTTAATTCTCCAATACTTTTGTCTTTTGTTGGAAGTTGTATGAAGGTCAAGTCACAATCACAGAAATGCTTAAATTGTAATACAGAAATGAAAGATGGGAAACCAGCAATAAGGATTATAGTATCAGGTTCTAACAGCTATGGTTTGGGTGAGTATTTTTGTGCTGTGGCTAGATATCACCATCCATTTGCACTGAAAGAAGAGAATTCATCTGTTTTTTGGTTTTTTTTTTGTGCAAACACTGATTGAAAAATACTATTGCAGACTTAACATTAGATTTTGCTCTTGATAAATGACGCAATCTTAGAAATCTGTTATATTTGACATTTCTTCACTAGGAAAGTAGTACAGCACTAGGGCAGGTTGTTCAGGAAAGCTGAAGAGTTTCTATATTCAGAGGTTTTCAGGACTCAAAAAAAGTCACTTGGATTAGGAGGGCATATTAAATGGTGAGGTGCTACGAACACCTAGCTGCAACCTTTAGGTAGTCCCTCTTTCCATCTGTATGAGGCAGAAGTGTTCATATTTCACAGGAACACTGAAAAAATATTGAGTGATGCCAATATGAATAATCCTGTTCAGATGGGAAGCTTTAGGACTAAGGGAGTAAAATTATGTTGCTCTTTTCTGTTTTGTTTTTAATTTAGCTATACTGAGATATTCATTTGAGTGGTATTCTGTTTGTAATGAAATCATACATCAACAGCATACTCTGGCATCCAGTAGTTACTGCAATATTAATAGACAGTTAAACTGTCTCTCCTGGTCAGTAAAATTCAATGTGCTGCTTCACAGTCTGTCATGACCAGGAAAGACTGATACTATACTTCTGCTTGGGACTTGTCAAAGAACTCAAATCTGTTGCAGTCATGTTTCCCAAGTAAGCTCAGTATGGGTTAAGAGGCTATCTTCTGGTGTTTGTTTTTTTTTTTTAATATCTTGATCAACCTTGACTGGGTCTTGGATAATCAGCTGAGCACCGCTTACAGAGGATGTCACTCTGGCCATTGCTTTGCAAATTATATCTAATTTAGAAGTGACTAGGAGTCCCAAATCAGAGCATAAACCATTTGGTCCATTCTCAGATGTCTACACCAGATCCAAAATAAAATTTAGTGGGTCTTGGGCAAATTGAGGTATCACAGACCAAAACTTTAATTCTGAAAATTCAAGACCTTCACCCTTTTACGTTCATGATACTTGTTCGTGTGTAAAGAAGCTGGTGCCTTATTGCAAGTTTAATTTTTCTGGTTTGCATATTGATGCATTAGACCTGGGGTCTTAAAAAGCATGATGTGGGTGCTTATATTAGGTGTACTTGGAAGGGTTTTGGTAGCAGGGGGGTTACAAGGCATCTTCTGTGAGAAGATGCCAGAAGTTACCCCTGTGTCGGATGATACCTGTGGTAAATATTGTAGAAACCTGGTTAATAGAAAGAGGACATGAGAAAGATTCTATAGCTCTGGTCTCACGCTAAAGCAGAGAAACTATCAGAAGGTCACTGTGTTTGTGAAGCTGCATTGTTTGATGTGAAGCTGTATTGTCTAAGAAACTGCATACGTGATAGAAAGAATAAAACTACAGGATGGGAAAAACAGTGAAAGTAGCTAAGTAACAAATATGTAACTATAGCCATGAGAAAGAAGCAGCATTTGCATAAATATGCCTTAGGTAATTAGAAGCCAATGATGAGCCTATGCTTGGAATATGTATGAGGCTAATTATTGACCTTTATAAACACAAAGCTTACAGCAATAAAGTTGGATTAGTCATGATCAATACTGTGGTCGTGTGATACTTTCCCGTCGTCCACAACAGATACCAGTTCCAGCTGGCTCCAAGATGGATGCTCCACTGGCCAAGGCCAAGAGCATCAGTGATGGTGGTAGGACCTCTGGGATAATACATTTAAGAAAGAGTGAAGCCTGCTGCACAACAGCATCAAGGAGAGAGGACTGAGAATATGTAAGAGTAACAAATCTGCAGACAGCAAGGTCAATGAAGAAGGAGGGGATGTCCCATGGTGAGGCAGCTGCCCCCCTACAGTCCATGGAGGTCCACAGTAGGGCAGAGGTCCACCTGCAGCTCATGGAGGACCCTGTGTTAGAGCAGGTGGATGTGCCCAAAGGATGCTGTGACCCTGTGAAAAGATGGTGCTGGAGCAGGCTCCTGGTAGGACTTGTGGCCCTCTGGAGAGAGGAGCCCAAGCTGGAGCAGTTCATGAAGAACTGCAGGCTGTGGGAAAGACTCATGTTAGAGAATTTCATGGAGAACTGTCTCCCATGGGAAGGATCCCACGTTGGAGCAGGGAAGGAGTGTGAGGAGGAAGGGATGGCACAGACAACGAATGCCTGATGAACTGACCACAACCTCCATTCTCCATCCCCCTGTGCAGCTTGGGGGAAAAAGCTAGAGAAACCAGGAGTGAAGTTGAGCCTGGAGAAAAAGGAGGGGAAAGGTGGGTTTAGATCTGTTCTTATTTCTTCTTATCCTACTTCATTGTTAATTGGCAATAACTTAATTTTCCTGAGTCAACTTGGTTTTGCCCATGATGATAACCAAATTGTTGAGCAATCTCAGTGTCCTCAACCCATGAGCCTTTCATCATCCTTTTCTCCCCCTGTCCAGTTAAGGAGGGGAGCAATATATTGACTTTGGTGGGCATCTGGTGGGCAGCCAAGGTCAACTCACCACGGTGCTCTCAAAAATGTTCCATTAAGCTTGTTGTGTTTTCTGTTATATTTCTCATATCTTTATATTTTTGTCTGGTTTACTGTATTCCCACTGATTTTCTGTCTTGATGTCTGTGGAGTCTCTATACCTGCTTCAAAGACAATAAATTTTGGGCTATGTAGTAAACATCTCTTATAGTAGTCCATTGCCACAGTCTAAAAAGCTCTTCAAACTTGTCAAAGTCCTTTAATTTATACTTATCTGCTTACCTTATATTGAAAAATTAATGGCTCTATATTGTATCTCATCCAAAATAAGCCTGCTATGGGATGAACAGTTAACAGGTCACAGGGACAACCTTCTGCATACTGTATAAATTAAGATGCAGATTTTGCATGCTAATTTTTCATATTGGGTTAGCATGCAGCCTGCAATATGTATTTGCTCTCTACTTCTGTATGCTTGTATTTTGCTTCTACTCTGAAAAATTTAGACTTTACATTGAACATATATATTTGACTTCTTAGACTGGTATTTTTTATGACACGAAATATCTGAAAACCTGGAGCTGCACAGGGTTTTAGTAAAACAAGACTTGGTGGAACTTGTCATATTTGGTAGGTACAAGAATTTTTGCTTCTTGTTTCCTACCCTGCAAAAGAATTATAGTGCTTTTAACCTGTAACTAAACTGTTCAAACCTTTAGAAAGCAATTACTGCTTTCCTCTGTATTCTCCCTAAATTGCTTGTTTCCGTGCATTCAGGAGTTCACCAATGTGAAGTTGTCTTTTTTTTTTGGTAATACTTGGAAAATAAACAAATAAAAGAATGGTTGTAAATCATCTCTTAAGTGATTTGCATATCATTTTATTGTGGGAGCTTTTAAACTTTGATCCCACATTGCCCTGTTCCATTAAACTAAATTGTAGTAATATCATTAACTTTCTTTTACCGACATGATGTTTGGTAAAGAGAGTTTGTTGCCTTTTGAATTTTAGTGAAAGATAATGCTCTGCATTCCTAACTAAACCAAGTTATCCCTTAACACCTCTTCAATTCAGATACTTATCGGGCCTTGGTTCATGCCACTATCTGTTAAAAGGTAACTGAAGGACATTCCATTCACCCTTGATCACCAATATTCCTTAAGTGGCCATAAAGCTTGGGAATTACAGCATGTGTCCATTAGGATTAGTAGAAGGTATAATAAAGACAAAAGGCTTGAGATAAGCTGCTAAATTGCTAAGAAGTATAGAAAGGCTTCAAAATGAGTAAAGACTGAAATTTTAATAGTCTTTAATTCAGGAAGAAAAGACACTGCTGAATTTTCCAGAATAACAAAAGGTACAAGGATGCACATATTACTGTACACTTCAATATAGTGCAATCCTAAAGAGCTTTAAAGACAACATATGCAAGTCTATCCATCACAGAATCTGCTCAAGTTGTGCAACTCATTGTGATATGACTGATGTCAAGATTTGTAAAATGAATTAAAATGTTTATGCATTTGTCTAATTAATGTATATTCCATTCCAATAGGCATGGTTAAAATACAGAGATATAAGCTGTCACATAATCTGTTAAATTCTGTGTGATGATATGTGAGCAGGTACTCAGCTAGACACGTTACTGCTTACTCTGCCCATCTTCCTTTCAAATTAATAGTTGAAAAAAGGTATCACACTGACTTCCTATGAGTATTTCTCTCTGTGTACCAATATTGCAAGACATCTTTACACAAGATGTCTTGTGTAAAAGTTTATTTCTCCCTTCCTCTCTCATGGTATCGCTGCATATTCAGTCTTGCATTCATACCCTTTTTTTTGGCATTAATGTCTTTTTCACTTATGAACAAAAGTTAATTGGTTAATTGTAACTACTGATTGTATTCCCAGACAATATTTTTAATATCCATTAGACATCAGGAGTTGTTTTTCCAAAGTTTTAACAGTTGCAAAACCTAGTGTATCTGTGGGGATGGAGTCATGGAGCATATCTTGGTTTGAGACTTCTAATGAAAGCATGTCAGTGCTGCCTATTACAGAAAACAGCTCTGATTAATGAGGACAATGTTATTGAGAAATGTGGAGAAGACTTCAAAGAACTAACTTTGAAAAAATACTGTGCTATGGATTTTAATTCCATTCTTCTTCAAAATGCATTTGTTCTCACAAATACACAGTTTTGTGAGTGTGTAGGGATCTCCCCAGTTTAGGTGCTTAAGAATATATATGCTTAAGAATAGTTCAGGACCTGAAATCTTCTAACACATTGCAGTTACCTGTTTCTGTGCTATTTAAAGAATTTAGCCATGCATTCCTCAGATGGAATGAATTTTGGAAACACACAAGTTCCAGAAGGGCATTTTAAATTTATTTGTCCTCATTGCATTTTAAGTATTTATTTCTTGGCCTGATTATTCAAAAATATATTTTCTCTTTGGGGGAGTGAAAGGTGAACAGACCAGTCCAACCTGGAAAAAACTAAAACACTCTGCTTTATCCGACTGACAAGAAAAATATCCTTCCAGAGAAATGCTGGAAGTTCAGTTACATGAATGTCTAATCTGGGAGTGGTGTAGCTCTTCTGGAAGAAAAAGTCCTGCCTTCTGTTCCTGGTAATTAGATCTGAATTTTTCATCTTTGCTATAAACAGTATGTTAATATTTCTGACAATGTGGGCTTTTCCACCCTTTCTCAGCAAACAGCAGGAGAAAAACTTGGTAGAAAAATGGGTCAGATCAAACTTTTTAGTTGCCAGATACAGTTCAGTGAACAGCTATCCCTAACAAACTGCTTTAGGGGGTGTACTAATATCCTACCAAAAAACTGACAACGAATTTAACTGTATGGGTGTTTCCTGGGGCAAGGACACAACAACCTCCTTACCAGCACTAAACCTTTGTTTTGGTTCTTTTGGCATGCTGGGTCATGGTGGAATAAAGGGCAATGAGTCACTATTATTGACTACAAGGGTATGCTGACCTGCACAGTAATGACAGATTGCTATGGGTTTCATAGTGTTGCAGTCTAGCACAAGTTTATTTCTGGTGTCTTGCCTATCATCTTGAAATATCAGTACATTGAGTCTACCTATTCATATCTACTGCTTCTACTAGCTGTCATTTTAACATTTATATATGCTCCATATTTTTTATCATTCTAAACATCCTTCTTGAAATGGAAATATTATCAAAACTTTGTGTAGTACTCTGACAGCAAAATTAGCAAAACATAGTCCAGGAATACAACTAGAAACAAGACAATATTTAATTAAATAAAAAACTTTATTAACAATGTAAATCGTTTAATATCTTACAGTCTCAGATGATTCTGGCATGCCTTATAAGATTTATACTTAGTGATATGCAGACACCATACTTTGAATTCTATTGGAAACAAAATAGGTTGGTGTTGTGTTTTACATTGTTTATTTTAATACCTCCTTTTAATAAATTATTTATTTTTTCCAAATGCTTGTAGATATACTATTGGCTTAAAAGGAAATCTGTTGCTTCTATGCATTGTACAGTATGTAGTTATTATGATTTCTCTGTATTTACAAGTCCTAACTATTTTCATTTATGATTTGTGTATCATAAATTAAGATACTTTTCTATGAAGCTTTTAAATTGAGATATATTGGAAGACTAAATATGAATGTGAGCACAAAAAGCAACTGGAGATTTTGTGCAAATTCTGTTACAATATGGTTTGAATGTTTAAGAACTTTAATACTTTTGCTGTTAAATAGTTTTCTATGCTTAAAGACTGTTAAGAGTATACCAAATATTTCATTATGATACTAAGAATACTGTACTACACACAAACTTTTAGCGGCAATTCAAACAATTAAAAAAACCTCTTAAAATTATCTATGAACCATAATTCATGTGTCTTCTTTGAGCGATTGAAAGTAAGCATGCAAAACATACTTTAAAAAGTTTTAAATATGCTAGATCTATTCCACAGCTGTTTTTTGATCACCATAATTTTACACTGGGAAATCCCTTATTTGAAGATGGGGAGGGAGCAGAAGAGCAAAATGAATAGTGTAGTATAGAAAATGTACTTTATAATCAAGAGGAGCAATGTTCATCTTTTCAGTGGTCAAATAATAGTGGTTTAATTAAAGTCATGATCTTCTTGGTGCTTCTGTGCTTAGTCTTCTAACTTGAGACAAGACAACACAATCCAAAGAATCTTCGCTTCCGTCTTCTTACCAATGGATATGGAGTCAAGTTTAGGAGGCTGCTATCATCTGTGATGAAAAATCCCACATTATAACACAAGCATGTACACACACAAAAGAGATTATATCATTTATGTGTCCTAACAGCACCTATCTCAGAATCACAGAATCATTTAGGTTGGAAAAGTCCTCTGAGATCAAGCCCAACCTTCGATCAATTACCACTTTGTCAATTAGCCCTAAGTGCCACGTACAGTCATTTCACCTCTAGGGATGGTGACTCCACCACCTCCATAGGCAGCCTATTCCAATCCTTGAGAACCCTTTCCATGATGTAAAAGGTCCCATAGTTCAAGGCATAGAGCAAACAACAATCCAATATTTGTATTTAAGTCTTACAATGCTAATTAACGGGATCTCCATAATAATACAATAGACATTTTGGTAAGAAGAAGACCAGTTCTGTGATGAAACCTAAATGAAATCACACCTCCACTGCTGGGAGATCTGAGCCACAATATTCCTGCATGGATTAATAATGTTAGGATTCCAAATAAAACCTAAAGATAAGTAGCTTGAGATCTTGCAGACATGCAAGTTTGGAAAAGTCAATGCTAAGGTAAAATTCTGGCTTAATTTAAACATAAAAACTTCCACTATTGAGTGGCCGTTTGTGCATATCTGGGAGAATTTCCATTTAAAACTGCAACACAGGAACATCTTGGCACATCGAGATAAAAAAACATTTGCCTGGGAAAGTTACCACTTGTTAGCTTTCTACCTTTTATATTAATTCCTTCTAAATTAATACAAAATATATGTATTAGTGCCTATACGTTAACTCACGCAGTGTCAGTGAGCTACCTCACAAATTTAGAGTTCACTTTGAATTTGAGCCATCTTCAGGCATGGTTTCAGGCTAAGATCTATGCCTCATCATATTCCTATTCTGGTTACATCAGTGATCTGGTTCGATTGTACAGTATAGACACTACTGTAACACAAATACTTAACTACAAGAACATAGCTAAGAGGTTGTCCTGGTTAGAACGGCTGGGACCAATTCATCCCTGGATGGGTGTA